TCCTCAAATTAACATTCTTGCTTTTCAATACTCTATTAAAAATTATTGAGGGCTCTTACAGCTCTTGTAACAATCATACATCAATTGTATCAAGCATGTTTGTACATATGTTGCCATCATTATTTTCTAGACATTTATTTTCTATTGAACGCTTGGTGTCAGCTCCTCTTCCCACCCCCCCTTCCTCTGCCACCCACCCTCATGGCCCTTGATAAATTATAACCTATTATGGATTTCATGTCTTACACAGACCACTGTCTCCCTTCCCCATGGTTTCTGTTGCTTGTCCCCCTGGGGGAGGGGTGCAGTTATGTGTCAATCATCATGATCAGTTCCCCCTTCCTCCCCTCCTCTGTTCCCTCTGCCTTCCTGGTAGTGCTACTCCCATTAATATTCCTGGATTCTGTGTGTTGTGAACTCTTATGTCTTATCTGTATCTGTGCACATGCTCTGGCCTAGTCCGCAGTGAAAGGCAAGACTGGGGTCATGATAGTTTGGGGTGATGAAGCTTCAGGGTACCAGAACAGTATTATGTGTTTCATCGGTGTTATATTGCACCCAGATTGACTCATCTATTCCCTGTTACCTCTCTGTAAAAGGATGTCCCATTCTCTACAGATGGGCTTGGGGTCTCTGTTCCAATCCCCCTCGTTCTCAACAATATGTTTTCTTGTTTGTTCATTTGCTTGTTTGGGTCTTCAGATGCCTCTTATCCAGTCCAGATGACAATTCAAGATCACACCGGCTAGTGTGCTTCTTCTATGTGGGCTTGTTGCTTCTCTGATAGGTGGCTGCTTATTTAACTTCAAGCCTTTAAGACCCCAAATGCTATAACTTTTATTAGCTGAACACCATCCTCTTTGTTCAACACATTTGCTTATGTACCCATTTTGTCTTCAGCGATTATGCCAGGAAGGTGAGCATCACAGAATGCCAGGTTGTTAGAACAAAGTGTTCTTCCATTGAGGGAGGGCATGAGCAGAGGCCCGAAGTCCATTTACAACCTCAGAGTATTATCATATAAATAGATGTACATGGGCCAATACCTCTATTTTTATGAATTAGTGTATTAACATAGTAAGGTACCCATCTATGCTTAGACCTCTATCCATATCTTTGCTTCCTGGATAATTCTTCTGTTTCCTTTCACCTTCCTTCTGCCCCATGATCACACTCACCCTACTTCAATACTCTAAAGATGTCTTGTGCAGCATGTCTTTTGATCTTCTGGCTGCTTCTTCCCTGAGTGGTGATTGTGGAGCCAAGCAAGCAAAAATCCATGACAACTTCGAGCTTTTCTCCATTGATCATGATGTCACCTACTGACCCAGTTGTGAGGATTTGGTCTTCTTTACATTGAGTTGTAATCCATATTGAAGCCTGCAATCCTTGATGTTCATCAGCAAGTTTGTAGATTCCTCCTCACTTGAAAACAAGGTTGTGTCATCTACATATCATAGGTTGTTAACAAGCCTTTCTCCTATCTTAATGCTGCATTCTTCTTCATATAATCTAGCTTCCCTGATTATTTGCTTAGTATACAGGTTGAATAAGTATAGTGAGAGGATACAATCTTGATGTGCACCTTCCCTGATTTAGAACCATACAGTGTTCCCTTATTCTTTTTGCACAAATGCCTCTTGATCTATGTGCAAGTTCTTCAGGAACACATTCAAGTGTTCTGGGATTAACATTCTTCTCAAGACTGTCAATGATTTATTATGGTCCACAGACTTGAACACATTTTCATAGTAAGTAAAGCACAAGTAACCCTCTTTCTGGAATTATTTGAGCTAAGATCCATCTGACATCAGCAATGATATCCCTTGTTCCCATTCCTCCTCTGAGTGTAGGCTGAGTTTCTGGCAATGTATTGCTGCAACAATTATTGCAATGCCTTCCTGTCAATGTATTGCTGCAACAATTATTGGATCATGTTCAGCAAAATTTTACTTGCATAGGACATCAGATATTATTCGATAGTTAGACCATACTGTTGAGTCACCTTTCTTTGGAATGGACACTAATATGCATCTCTTCTATTCAATTAGCCAAGTAGCTGTCTTCCAAATTTACTTACATAGATGAATGAGTACTTCCAATGCTACATCAGCTTGCTGAAACATATGAATTGGTAGTCCATCAATTCCTGTAGCCTTGATTTTGGCTAATGCATTCAGTGTTGCTTGAACTTCTTCCTTCAGCATCATTGGTTCTTGCTCATAGGTGACCTACTGAAAAGGTGGGATGTAGACTAGTTCTTTTTGGTCCAGTGACTATCTTCTTTCAATCCTTTCTTGGTGTTTCCTTAATCATTTAATAGAATCTTTCAAGATTTGAACTTGATGCTTGAATTTTTTGTTGATTTCTTTCCGTTTAAGATATGCTGAACATGATCTTCCCTTTTGGTTTTAGAATTCTAGGTTTTTTCACCTTTTATTATAATATTTGTCTTTGTCTTCTCCAGCTGCCCTTTAACATTTTCCATTCAGCACGGTGTCTTCATCATTTCTTCTCTCTGCTTTATCTACTCTGTGATTAAGGGCAAGTGTTAGCGTCTCTTCTGACATCCACCTTGGTCTTTTCTTTCTTCCTTGTCTGTTAAATGACATTTTGCTGCATTCAAGAATGATTTTCTTTTTTTTCAATGGTAAATCATAGGGAACTTTAATGAACTGTATTGACTGAACTATGCCATGTGTCATCTTTTGTTTTATTAAAGCTATTGTTTATATATATATTTAAATAATTTTATTGGGGATTCATACAATTCTCATCACAAACCATACATCCATCCATTGTATCAAGCACATATGCACATTTGTTGCCCTCATCATTCTCAAAAAAAAAAAAGAATGATTTTCTTGATATTCTCCCACAACTCATTAGATCTTCTGTCCTTACTGGATTCAATATGTTCTTGAGATGTCCTTGATATTCAGGTGGGATGGACTCTAGGTTGTATTTTGGCGCTCGTAAACTTGTTATAATTTTTTTCAGCTTTAACCAGAATTTACATATCAGCAATTGATGGTCTATTCCGTAGTCAGCCCCTGGTCTGGTTTTAGCTGCTGATATTGAGATCCTCTATTGTGTCTTTCCAGACATGTAGTCAATTTAATTTCGGTACATTTCCTCTGGGAGAGTCCATGTATATGGTCACCTTTTGTGTTGTTGGAAAAGCATTTGCTTTGAAGAAGTCACTGGCCATGTAAAATTCTATCATCTCATCTCCAGCTTCACTTCTTTTACAAAGACCATATTTTCTGACTACTCTTTCTTCCTCTTTGTTTCCAATTTTTGCTTCCCAATCACCAAGAATTATCAATATATATTGACTGAATGTTTAGTCAATTTCTCAGTGAAGATGCTGGTAGGATTTTTCAAACGTCCTCACTGACTTTTGTGGTTGGTGCATGGATTTGAATCGTAGTTGTATTCATTGGATTTCCTTGAAGGTGGATAGATATAATTTGTATCATAGATAGTATTGTATTTCATGATTGATTTTGCAATGTCCTTTATGAAAGTGAATGCTGTAGTCTTCCTTTTGATTGTGTTAGTCCAGCATAGTAAATCATATGATTTTCTGATTCAAAATCACCAACACCAGTCCATTTCAGCTTACTAATGCCTAGGATATTGGTCTTCATGAGTAGCATGTCATTTTTGATCACTTCCAATTTTTCTAGATTAATGCTTTGTATATTCCAAGTTCTCATCATTGGCAATCTTTTCAGCTGTTTCTCCTTACCTTGTCATGGCCCATCAGCAAATGAGCACCCAGAGCCTCCCCTTCCACAGACTTCCCCAGACTCACATCACTGTGGTTCAGTTCATTCGGAGAAATCAGCTCCTCCTCAGTCAGATTTTGATTGCCCTGGGACGTGAGGGGCACTATCTCCAACAATGTTCTGTTCCATTCTTGAGACCTTCAGCATCTGGCAGTGTTTCAAAGATATGCATGAGGTTTTAGTGGTTCCTTCCACTGAAGTGGGGAGCTGAGTTCTTCGTCGTCTAGAGCTTCTTAGTTCTGAAGCTTTGCTGAAATGCGTTCACTTTGGGTGACCCTGCTGGCATTTGAAATACCGGTTGCATACCTTACAACATCACAGCAACACACAAGCCAAAACAATAAGACAAACTGACAGACAAGTGGTGGAATAATGTAATTGATGGTAAAAAGTGCAAAAAGAGAAGAGTAAAACAGGTAAAGAATAGAGAAAGTTTGAGCATTTGGTGGAGTGGCAATGTTAGATAGTGCCACCAGGACATCTGTTAACTATAACAAATTAACTCCCCATAAAAAGATCCACATGCACCACATTCTAATGTTTTCAACTATGAATTAATAGGACAGTTGCATATTACTGTTTTCTCCAAAACCATTAAATTTACATGGATTTTTCATTAACATGAATCAATTAACCCTTTCACTTGGCAGTTTGAGAAGAGCACTGCCCGTTTCTGTGATAGTGAAAATATGTTCTATTTGCTCTGTGCAATAAAACTTGGGATTATAATTACATTTAATTGTAATTATTTTACATTTAAACAGATATATATTGCTATTGGCTACCATACTGCAAAGTGCAGATTCAGAATGTCTATTATGAAGTCACGATAGTTTTCAATAGGGACATGGAAAAAGAAAATTCCTAAAAATCTAAAATACATTTCTTTTTCAATACTTTCTCAATCTTGAAGAACCAAAAATATGATAGCTTGTTGTTTTGCAAACTGGAATAAAAAAAGAAATTTAAAAGAGTGATCTCTAGAAGCAGCATATAGCCCAATTACAAATGAGAAATTGTTTTAATAATCTATGTGGTCTCAGCCTATTGGAGCTTTGTCAGGTCATATGTTGAGAAGCAATTATCAGAATTGGACACAATAAAAATTTAACTGTATTAAAAAGGAAATTATTGCTGATTTTAAAAAATTAGCTAAAATAAATGGCTATCTCTTAATAATGACACATGCTTTTTATTTCTTTTTAGGCAATGGGAAAGATTATGGAAAAGACTACAAGATTACTTTTCACGTACAAAGAAAACCCAAACTAGAACTTCAACTCAAAGAGGTGGACGAATTTGGAAACTATAGCTGCCCTCATTATAAGGGCACCATTGAAGTTTATAAAGTACCCAGAGAAAAGGTAGTCCCTAACTTGGAGAAATCTCTGCTACTTAATGAAAACCGTTTTCAGTTACCAATGTGCAAATTACCATTAAGCTTGCCAAAGGTGAGTTAATTTTTTTTCCTTATTTGCTATTTTTCTTAATTCTTCTTAATTTCACCACAGTTAGTGTAGCAGGTGTACATGAGGTTAAACCAGAACAGAAGAATAAAAGTCACAGTAATGAATCAGGAAGTGATGGCTAGAGTAAACTGTGGAGTGAGAATACATGCTAGGGTTTCCACATTCTCTCAATTCAAGAGCAATTAAAGTTAATCTGCCTGGACAGTATGTTGTCAATCCTTGTAGATATGTCATTCATATTTTGGTAAGTACTTCACAGTAACTGGAGATAATGTATAGAATATCATTTTAGAGCCTATTACTAAAAGGACATACAGGAAGGAATATGACATTATTAAAATGTCATACATTTTAATACATAAAGGAAGGAATATGACAAAATTAAAATTTTGTTGAGATGTAATGATTATTCCGAATTCTACATTCCTTATGAGCTAATTTTTTTTCTTTAGCATTTTACTCTTACCTGAAATCAGAATTGCAGTTCTCCAAATTTGTCAACCCATCCCCCAAATAATTAATATCATATTATGATAGTAGCGGGTACCCCCAAAAAAGTGGAAAATAGCTCCCCTGGGTAAAGCTTTCATAGTATGCATTTTTTCTTGCTACCAAGCATCAAGCAACTGGCTCTGAGTTAGTGCACCCAGTGGCGTCACCTGGGAAGGTTCTCTCTGGTAACTGAATTTTTTTGTAAAAACAGTTTCACTCAAATCTTGTTTTTTGTGATGGCTGTAAGAGGACAACGTGTGACTGTGAAACTGTGTTCCCTGCTCTGGGGAAAATGCTGTAGAAACTGTTATGATGTTGATCACAGCTTACAAGGTCAGCACTATGTGTACAAGTGGTTTTCTCATCTCAAAAAAGGTGAAATATTGATTGATGACAAACCTCATTCTGGATGTCTGTCATCTTCCCGAACTAACAAAAATATCGACAAAATCTGTGCATTTGTGCTCAAAGTCCAACACTGGACCATTGAAGAGATGGGGAAGTTACCTGCACTATCTTGAAGCTTGGTACAGTGAATTTTAACAGAAGATTTTGGAATGTATAGGGTCACTGCGAAATGTGTTCCTTGGGTTCTGATTGACCAGCAAAAAGAGTGTCCATGCCGTTCTTTGAAAGAACAGCTCCTAAACAACCTAGACTTTTTTCCAAGGTCATTGCTGGTGATAAGACATGGTGCTATTCTTATGACCCCTAAAGCAAACATCAATCAAGACAGTGGCAGAGGCCATTGATACCTCACCCAAAATAAGCTCATCAAGTGAAATCAAAGATCAAGATGATGTTTATTTTGTGTGTGTGTGGATGTGAGGGAGATAGTGAATTTGGATTTGGTTGCACCAGGTCAGACTGTTAATCAAGCTTTCTAGTTAGAGGTTCTGAGAAGATTGTGTGGTGGTGTGTGACAAAAATGGCCTGCGTTGTAGCAGACAGGGGACTGGCTTTGCCACCACAATTCACCTGATCACACAGCCATCTCAGTGTGCTAGTTTTTGGCAAAAAACAGCATGCCGCTCTTGCCCCACACACTTTACTCACCTGACTTTGCTCCATGCCACTTCTTATAAAAACTTTAACTTTAAATGAAACCAGGGGACCTTGAAGGGTTGGAGCAGATGCTGAAGAAGAGGGATATGAAAGGACAGAGATTTAACGAGGTATAAGAGGTGGAAAAAAAACAAGAGAGGTGCTGTCAGCCATTCCAGTTTTTTTGTTTGTTTGTTTAGTGGTTTTGTTGTTGTTGTTGTTTTGTAGCCACTCTCTGTTTATCTTGTCCAGGGTTGTCCTGCTTTTTGTTGCTTTCTGAAGCATGCCATTCTTTTCCAGGGACTTGTCTCTCCTGATGACATGTCTACAGGACTTGAGGAAAACCTCACCACCTCATTTCTAAGGAACATTCTGACTGTAGGTCTTCCAAGAGAGATTTGTTTGTTCTTTTGTCAGTCTGCGGTACGGTACTTTCACTATTTTTGGCTAACAGCATAGTTCAAATATATCAATTCTTCTTTGGTCTTCCTTATTCATTTCTGAACTTTCCCTCACATATGAGGTGACTAGAAATACCATGCAGAGGTCAGGTGAACACTAATTCTCAAAGTGACATCCTTGTTCTTCAACTCTTTAAAGAGGTCATGTGCATATTTTCTCAGAAGGTTTTGCAGTTATGTTAATTAGCTCATAGTTGAGTAGAATGGTTTCTAAACCTAATCACTTCTGAGTTATAACAAAAGCAGGTTAGATACAGAGATAAGGACATATACGGGGGTGGGGGGTGGGGGGGAGACAATCCAACCCTGAGATAGATGCATCTACGATGAGCCTGGGAACTGCATGCATTGCTGACAACTACTAGAAGATGAACTAGAGGAAGAAAACCTCCCCCTAGAATCATGCCCTGACTTCAGCCTTCTAGCCTATGGAAATGTGAGAAAATAACCTTCTGTTGTTTTATATAGTCACAATTTGGAGTATTTGAGCAACAGCAGCACTAAGGCACTGTGACACAACTTTAGCATGGCCACCCTATCTGACTTAAGTGAATTGTTGTTGTTAGGGGTCATCGAGTTAGTTTGAACTCATAGTGAGCCTATGCACAACTGGACAAAACACGGCACGGTCCTGTGCTCTCTTCACAATTGTTCTTATGCCTGAGCATATGCCACTCTTTCAATCCATCACATCAAGGGCCTTATTCTTTTGCGCCGCTCCTCCAATTTACAAAGCAGGCTGTCCTTCTCCAGGGACTGGCCTCTCCTGACAATAGATATAAAATATGTAAGAAGTCTTGCAAACCTTTCCTGTAAGGTGCACTCTGGCCTTACTTCTTCCAATACAGATCTGTTTGTCCTTTTCACAGTCCATGGTACATTTAATATTCTTCTCCAGCACCATAGTTCAAATGCGACAATTCTTTTTTTGGGTATTCCTTATTTGATGTCCCACTTTCACATTCATACAATGCAATAGAGAATAGCATGACTTGGGTCAGGCTCATCTTAGTCCTCAAAGTAACATTCTTACTCTTCAGCACCCTAAAGAGGTTGTGTGCAACAGATTTACCCAGTGCAATACTTCTTTTGATCTCCATGAGTGTTGATTGTAGATCCAAATAAAAACAAATTTCTTGACAGCTTCAACTTTTTTTCATTTATCATGATATCGCCAGTTGTAAGGATTTTGGTTTTCCTTACATTGAAGTGTAATCCATACTGAAAGCTACAATCCTTGATCTTCATCAGCAAGCGCTTCAAGTCTTCCTCACTTTCAGCAAGCAAGGTTGTGTCACCTGCATGCCTCAGGTTGTTAATAAGATTTCCTCCAGTCCTGAGGCTGCACTGTTCTTCTTATAACGAAGAAGTAATTAGCCAAATGAATTCATTAAAATAATTCATTAAAATAATTAATCAGCCAAATTAACAAGGTAGATGATTTAGGAACTTAAATAGATAGTCCCTTAATAAAAATCACTCGTTAGTTACTCGCTAGGCCTTTCGTACAAGTTCTGGCCTCAGCCTTGGTTCAAGCACCCCACTCTCTACCAGTTTGCCTGTGAGCTTCCTGCCAGCCATGCTTTGTCCCTCCTCTTCCAGGGAAGTGTCCCTTAATTCTACCTCTACAAAAGCGAGGTATTCCTGATCTGGATTTCTATGGTATGGATTATACGTTTGCAATCACTGTAGTGATAGTTTTTTATTATACTTACCTACTTACTTTCTTCCCAATAGATCTGTGTTTCTCAATATTAATAGTAAAAAAAATTATAACCTTATTAAGGAGTCATTTGAGACATCCTTGTCCCTAAAATTCCCTCTTCATTAAATTTTGTATCAAAGATAGACTGTTTATTTCTATATGGTGTTTATATATTAAAAGATTAAGTTTTTAATTTTTCATGCCCTTTTCCAAAATTCTTTTTTTCTCTCTTCAGTGTTTGATATTTGCCAACTAGGGAATTCATATAAAAGATTTTCGAGGCACATACTTTTTTCCTGCTGAAATATGTGTTATATTATCAGGCATATAGTTGGCATTTAAGAAATATTTATTACTAAATGAATGAGCAGGTAATTTATTTTAACCTTAAAAATTGTCCATTCTTGAAATTTATGGTCTTCAAATTATATTGTTGTATTTAGAGAGAATGCATTTTAAACTTAAGCTGCCATCATGTGTGAATTCATATCAATATACCATCTGTACTTTCTATTTCTCCCTGGTGATTGACAGAGGCCTTTCAAGATTGAATCTCTTGACCCTTGTATTTATAGTGTTTAGAGATAAGTTGGGAAAGAGTCTGTGTCTGAAAACTTTTTCCCCCTTTTAAATCTCATACACCTAAATCTGGCCTTTATCTTTGTGAGAACAGACTTCTTCTTCTCTTTTTAAAAAATAAAGATCAGAATTTAAAATATCCACCTCAGCTGGACATATTTAGAAAGTGCTTTTTTTTGGTAAATGGAAATAGCCTTATTATATACAGCTTGACATTAATGAACTCCATATTAGGCATACATTTATACATGGAGCATATAACAGGTGACAAAATCTGTCAAAATGAATAGTGATTTGCCCAAAGAAGTCAGGCAGTAATTATATGTATGCATATAGACTGGGCTCATGCAAAACCTATACATAGACCAAGAGAGGTGTGTGTCAGGGTTAGACTCTTTTACCATATGCATTCAATCTGTATGCTGAGCAAATAATCAGAGAAGCTGAATTAAGTGAATTAAGGTGTTGGCAAAGAATGTTCAAGTATAACGGACTGTCGAGAGAACAGACAAATCTGTTTTGGAAGAAGTATGGGTTCACAAGCTGCCATTTGTCTGGCATACTATGGTGGCTTCTGTGTTTCCGTGATGCTGGAAGCTACGCCACTGGTATTTCAATGTCAGCAGGGGCACCCAAAGTGAGCAGGTTTTGCCAAACTTGCAGTCTAACAACTGACTACAAGGACGGAATTGGCTGCTCATTTCAGAAGTAGCCACGGAACACCTTGTGCACAGATGGAGACATTGTAAAATGCTTTGCTATAGTTTGTTCCTAACTCAGGGGCAGAGTGATCCTTTAACTCCTCTTGAGGTAACTTCAGCATCCCCTCCAGCCCTTTAAGGTCTTCTGGTTTCATTTAAAATTAAAGTTTTTATATGAACTTGGGCTCCATGAACTCTATGGCTCTCTCTCTCCCATAATCATATCATTGTTTATCTTAGCACAATGATTTTTTTTTTGCGTCTTGAATATAACGAACATGCTTCTACATTAGTTGGCACTCCCTTTTGGCATGTACCTGATTAATGTTTGCTTGGATAACTCCTTTATCTATTCTATTTATTGTTCAAAGTGTACCTTCTCTCGGAGGCCTAGACACTGATTCTAGTTCATATTGCAAACTGTTCCTACTGCCACACCTGGCCCTCCTGATCCTCTTTACTCTTTAATGGTTTTCCCTTTCTTCTAAAACATTGTGCTCTTCTCATGTATATTTCTTTATTTATTATGTTTATCATCCAAAAATTAGAATGTAAGCTCCATGAAAATAAAAAAATTGTGTGTTTTGTCCACTGCTAAATCAACACATGCCAGAGTAGTTCCTGGTGTATGTTGTTTGGTTTTGATCGCTGTCTTTGGTATGATCCCTAACCATATACACAATGGAACATAATACTGCCTCATTCTGGGCATCCCCATGATCAGACGCAGATTGGACCTCTTTGATCCACACGGTTTTCATTCGCTCATTTTTGGAAATCGAATACCAGACTGTTCTTCCAAGTACAACTTAATCTAGAAGCTCTACTGAAATCTATTTAGTGTCGTAGCAGGATGTAAGCTTCCACTGACAGATAGGTGGTGGCTATATGTGGATGCATGCCAGGAACATGAACTAGAGACAGAGAAGGCAATGATTTTACCATGGAAGAATCTCTGCCTCGTTGGCATTTGTCGGTTGGATGAGTAAGTGAATAGATGAATTAACAAACAAAGCTTGCATTTAAAATGAAAAGAAATTTCACCAGAGGATTAAAGAATTAGTAGTTTAGCCAGGGAAAGCTTCTTTCTAGAGATACCCTCTGAGCTGAGGATCAACTAATGACAAAATGTCCATCTGACTCTTGGCAGGAGAACATTGTAGTGAGGGGAATGGCCAAGACTTAGACTCTGATGGGGAATGAGTTACTCGTTAAGAACTCAGAGGAAGGGCATCACAATAAGCATATGTGTCAGGAGTAAGGGAAGGTGGTGAGACTAGAAAGATAGGCAGTAGGGTCTTATTTCTAGTTCAATATAGTTTATTGAAAATTTTATATAATCAATATATCTGAAAATGTATGGCTGACAAGAACAATGATTTGCTTTTAAAGCTTCTCTATTTTTAAATCATTTTATTGGGAACTCTTACAGGTATCATAGCATTTTATAGTCAATCTCATCAAGCAGCATTGTACAATTGCTACCACAGTCAATTTCAAAGCATTTTATTTCTTCTTGAGCTCTTTGATATCAGCTCCCCTTTATCCCCTCCCTCTCCCCACCCCCCACCCTCAGGAAACCTTATTTATTTTTTTGCCACATCTTATACCATCCAATATATTCTGTTCACATACAATTCTGTTCTTTGCTCCCCTTAAGTGGGGTTATACAGTCATCAATGCTATCAGCTCTCCCTTCCCACCTACCTCCCCCACTAAAGCTTTTCTAAGTTGTGCCCCAAACATCTCTCTCTTTTCAAAACATTCAAATAGATTCAATTCACACACACTATATCTATTTGTACTTTGACAGGAACAAGGCAAATTTCAACAATTCACAATGTGGGGTAAACGGAAATGGAGCAAATCTCTTTTTGCTTCTGAAACCCGACTAGATCTCTGCTCTTAGTCATTGGTACCCTCAGGAACCTGACTGCCTTTCGTGATTCCCTGCTGCCCCGAAGCTTTCCTTTGAAGAATGAAGGGTTTCAGGTCTGAGAGCTGTTTGGGCAGAAAGCTGCCCATGGCTGCAAGTTCCTAGCAGTAGCTAACCGCAATATTTCTGTAAACCAACCCTTGACCCAAGTTTTCCTTAGCCTGAACTTCTCTTTTCTATATATAACTGACCTCATGACACATGGTTTCTAGCATATAATGATACTGTTTCAACACCTACTTTCTCACCACATTGAATAACTGCGCATGTAAAAGGAAGGGCATATGCAGGTTCAGTTCAGCAGAGTTACTATTTTCTTACCCACTTGTAGAGTTTTATTATCTGCTCATTACTCTACCAAGGGTGACTTAAAATATAGTATAGATAGATAGATAAATAAATCCCTTTTTCCAGCCACATGAAAAACTAAAGAAAGGTAATAGATATATAATAAGAAGAGTCACAGCTATTCATAAGTTTTATATTCACAGGAACTTCTATTTCATTTACAATTTTCAGCTATAATAGTTTACAAAATTATATTAGGATTTAAAAAATACCCCACGAGTTACTAACTTATTCCAAGTTATTAAAAATGCATATTAGACAAATGAGCAACTGATATTAAGGGCTAAAGTAGAAGGCAAGTGTTTTGAGAAAGATGAGGGCAACAAATGTATATATGTGCTTGACACAATGGTTGTATATGTATGGATTGTGATAAGAATTGTATGAACCCCCAATAAAATAACAAAAAAAAAGAATAAAAAAGCACACACACACAACATGCATATTAGAAAGGAAACATTTGGAAAACACCCTCTAAGACATATCAGGGTTTTTTTTGTTATTCTCTTAACAACTATAGTGAATTCATGGGATTATTAAAATATTTCCTCTGTACACCTCTGTTCTGTGCATTACAGTTAATTCCAATCACATGTGCATGTCTTCATCACCCCAGCCCCACCAATATAGAAGAGAGTCACTAGGATATTAGGAAGAAGAAATTCATATTAAAAATTTTCAATTTTGGACCTGGAAACATTTGTTGACCCTATTTGAGACTAGCCCGAGCTCCAAGATCACTGAAGGGGCAGCTTCAATGTGTCTTTTCCTCCTTTTATGACCACCCAGACCAGTGTTTTGTTCCAATGGATAAGGGAACTGGAGGCCTGGAAACATTAAAAACAACCCAAAAACTTTTACTGGGGTCTCTTACATCGCATCACAATCCATGCATTCATCCACTGTGTCAAGCACAGTTGCACCAATGCCGCCGTCACCATGCTCAGAGCATTTTCTTTACACTTGAGCCCCTCTGGCCCTTGTATCTCTTCCTTGTCATGTGCTCCATGCCCGCAAGGTCATCTCCATCTCAAGTTTACCATCACAGCGATCTTCAAAGACACAGTTTTGGCCACGTCCTTAAAACTGATTTGAATGCTACTCTCCATAAGAGGTTAAAGAGGGAAAATGAACCCAACTGGTCATTTCAGAAATAGTATCTTGTGTTCTCTTTGGGAAAGTGCTCTGCCCACCAATTTAATCAGAAGAAACCCCCCTCCCTTTCTTCCTCCCGCCCCGCCCTCCATCCACCTCTTCTTCTCCTTTTCCTGCCGGCCCTTGTTCTTCTCCTTCACTTTCCGGTTCTCTCTCTCTTTTCTCCTCCTCCTCCTCCTCCGGCATTCCATAGCTGTAGAAGGAAAAGTGTTTGATTTCGTTTTCCTCCTATTTAAGGTATGGTGCTCTTAGAGTTTTTTAGAGAAACACAACCATTAAGATGCTATAGATAGCTTTGTATGTAGATAGAGCGATGGAGAGAGAGTGAGAAATATTAATCTAAGAAGGTGGTTCATGTGATTGTAGGAAATAGTAAAGCTCAAATCTGTTGGCCTGGTGACAGAAAGGTGATTCATGCAGTTTTGTGCCCCCAAATCTATGAGATAATGGGAGGAGAAGAGTGGAGGGGTTCTGAGAAGAGCCTCTTAAATGTCGCGAGGCAATATACTCATATTCTTCAGGGAAAATCCCTTTGGGCTCTTAAAATCCTCAGTTGACCAGGCTTGATCATAGCAGAATCTAGACAAGTATTGAACCAAACCACTGGTCACCATAGACTAAGAAAGTAGGTGCAGGATATTAAACCTCAGAACTTCAAATAATCATTTTACAAAGAAGCACATATATTCTTACCTGAGCCAATTTAATAATTTAAAAAAGGAGTTACTTTTTTACATTCTTTTAGTTTTTAACATGTAAAATATAAAATTGAAGTTCACCAACTCATTCTAGCTCATGAACTCAAAATGTTTTTTGTACTTCTATAGATATACTAGTTAATATTTTCATGAACAAAATTAAAGGACCCCTATATATGAGGCCTTGTATAAAACCTTTAAAATATTACAGGACAGAACCCTTGCTTTCAAGGAAATTACAATCCAGATCAGGAAATAAAGCATAAACATTTCAAAATTTATAAGACAATACAAGATAAATAATAACTGAATACAACAATGCAGCAGTATCACAAGACAGGAACTAATGATGAATCGATAAATGAATAGCTGACATGGTAATACAAGGACAGTCCAGAGAAGGGAGTAATCTCTGTGAGCTGAAGTGACCTCAGGCTGGTTCACAGAGCAAGATGTATAAAGAGAAAGTGTAGAGAAAGATAACAATTGTAATGGACTGCACTCAGGATGGTGGCTACAGAATGACACTTTGAAGAGGCAAAGGTCAAGGAGCGTTTCAGGAGGAGGCCCTAAAACCATCAGTGTAACTTTAGTTGAAAATTTAGAAAATCAAATGGGAATTAAATTGGGGAAAGATAATGGAGGGCTTTGAATGCCCATGTTTGTGATGTATCTGTACAGGAGCTTCTTGTTAAAATTTGTTGTAAGACTGCGACTCAGCTTATGATGTGGAAAAGGTACACAGGACACATGTGAATGGTGGCAATTAAAACCATCCAGTCTTAGTGTGTGAATTAACACACACACACACACACACACACACACACACACACACACACACAC